TTATATTTGAAAAATATGTTAAAGGGCATTTAAAGCTAATGAATGCATTTATTACATTTTTGTATTGCATATTATAATAAAATAGTTCTTATAAAAAGATATAACATTGGTAGCTTAAATCTAATCTCAATCTCACTATAGTCAATTTTCTCGGCAACAGAATTGAGTATTTTAACCTTTGGCTATATTTCAGCAGTTGTAAAGAAATTGTATGATAAATATTGCACAATATAATATTATTTTTGTAAACATGTTATAATATAACAAATGCTGGACATGTCATATCTATTTATAATTTCATAATATCGCCTCTATTTATTTATTTATTGCCGCCATAAGTAAATATAAACAGAGAGAGAGAGAGAGAGAGAGAGAGAGAGAGAGAGAGATAACAAAAAATCTAATAGATAAAACGTGAAAATAATATTATACAAAAATTCATATTTTTTAAGCAATTTAAGTACATCAGTTTCATCTAGTACATCACTTTAAATCTGCTAAATATAAATTATAAAAAAATAGATAAAAGAGTTACGAGTCAAGCTGGATGTTTCGTTGCTAATTAATTAAATTAAATTTTTTAATAATAAACACATTATCTATTTCCTTATTTTAAGTTACTAGCATGCGTTTGTGTTTATTATTTAAAGATTAAATTTAATTGGTTAGAAAATAAAGAATTATGGACTGTCAAGTTTTACAAACAAAACAATAAATTTGATTAAGCTAATGAGAATCGAAACACAGTTGTCCGTGCTATAAATTTAAATTTGAATTAAAATATATAAACGGTTTGGCTCCGCTTTGAATTAACGATGAACGTTCAACTTGATTTGTAGCCCTTTTATCTATGTTAATTTTAATTATTTAAGTCCGTTATCTATTTTCTTATATAAAAAAAAATTATGATAAAAATATGATAAAAATATCATATATATCCTGAGAACAGAGCACGAGTTTAAAAGAACTTATATATACAATAGTAAAGTCATTTATCATTTGTCCCTTTTTATCATGTTTACGATCATCATGTTAACAATCGCTAGGTAATAATCAATTATGTTCACAGAAACAGCCATCCTTTGAATTTTTCAAAATCCAATCCATATATTGTGTAACTCTTGTATAGACACCTGGATAACCAGGTCTTGCGCATCCATTACCCCAAGACACCACACCGATGAGTTCGTATTTTTTATCTTCTCGCTCCGTTATTAGAGGACCACCACTATCTCCCTATAATACAAAAGATTTCTTATTATTTGTATATTATTTGTACAGAATTCAATCCAGTCATATTCAATGTAATAAAATGAGTTTAAGTTATAGTTATATGCACTACGTGTATTAATAATTAATATGTACTACACTAATATATTGTAAGATATGTTTTGTAATGTATGTTTTTCACAATTCTTTTATTTACTATTACAATTTTCTATTTTTAATTTACACATATACAAGTAAGTAAATATTACCTGACATGAATCTTTTTGTCCTTCAAGATAACCTGCGCATAACATATTTTCTGAAATCATTCGGGCACTGTAGCTGGTATTGCGACAAGCTTGAAGACTCATGACTGGAACTTCTACTTCCTGGAGAAGGCAGGATGGTTTGCCATCCTCTTTCAATGTACCCCAACCTGACACAATTGCTTTTGCGTCTACATATTCGTTATCTAAAAAATAATTCTACGTTATGTATTATAACAAATGATTATTTAAAGCAACTAATTGCAATAATTTTAATTGTAATAATAATTTTATGGAAAGAATTAGTAAAATATTGTTTTTATCATTTAAAAAAAATAATTTTATTTAAATTTAAATATACATATTTAATATCACAATGTATCAACATAGATTTGATGAAAAGAATTTCAGTAATAATCAACTTTCTATTAAAAAAAATATAAAAAGTGGAAATCATTAAAAGAAAGTTAAGAGGTTTTCGAGTACAAATATATTATATGTATATTATTAATGCAAATACATTGTAATGTCGGTAAACAGGGCAGGTAAGTGTACCATGTCATGCTGCGTTAACAAATTCAGAAAAAGATGATTGCGTGCATTCGAAATGCAAATTCAAGTCCTCGATTTCAGAGAAATCTTCATTATTACGCAGTTATTTGTGCGACGCGACAGTATATTTCAATTGAGAGTAGGTACCCGTATATTGACTAATTTATGACTTTTCTATTACGTAATCGATGCATAATAAACATGATTGCTAATCATAGGTCGCTTAATATATCCAATATACGTATTTTACAAAAATACACTGACCAAATTAATCGTGATTGAATGCTATTGTAACATCGCTTGAACTTGTAACTAAGCATGAAATTGTAATACGCTTTAAAAGTAGATATCGTTAATATATTTTGATGTATTAAATTAAGATTATACAATAATTGCGTGTCTTGAATAAAAAATTTTTTATATCAATTTATCCGTCAAACGTAGAAAATTAATAAAGCATATTATACGTCAAAAAATTTCAATATATTATTATTATTATTATTATTATTATTATTATTATTAATTTTTACAATATATGTGTTATAATTTTAATTATGATAAAAATTGTATATTTAATATTATTCTTATTATTATTTATTGTCGTTTTAAAGAGAAAATAAATAGACTCGCATAGTAATCTATCTTTGTAAAAATATTTTCATCAGATTATTATTATTATCATTTCATTATACTTTTATAAAAAAAAAAATAAAAGTACACTTACCTAACATTGTTGGTAAACATATCGGCCGTATTGTATCGCTCAACGGCACTCTTTCATTAAGACGAAGTAGCGCGATATCATTTTCAAAATTCAGAAAGCTGAAGTCACCAGTCATAACGCGCACTACGTATCTGGTTTCCGGTGATTTCTCGATACATCTATCGTGCTCTCCGAAAGTAACTCTGATCATGAACCACATGAATCTGAAAATAAAACTAGAAGAACTGATCACATTCGTCTAGCGAATAAGTTTGCAATGGAGGAACTTTAAATAAAATTAATGAACTCTACAGAAAATATCTTTCAATTTAATATATTTAATAATAATTCAATTTTTTTTTGTATATTGACTCAATCATGTATTCTAGAATTTCTATATTAGTAATATGAAATTTCAATTATATTTTAATCAGTTCTTTAAATAAGTTGTTTCATTACTAATAAATTTATAATTCTATGTGCATAATTTACAAATAGCTCGTTTTTTAAAATTATGTTATTAAAAAAAAATGTGCATCGAAGATAATGTATTCAATAAATATTAATTGAGCAAAAGATACTTCAAAATCTTACATTTAAATATTAATTTCTTATTTTCATATTTATTGTATATTGAATGAGTAAACTTTTTAAATAATGTTTACATAATACGTTTCTGTTTATATAATAATTTATACTATTCATTTTGTTAAGATAAATATATGTGAACAAGCAACTTTAAGATAACAAATTCATATTGCTCTATTTGTAAATAACTAAAAATTATAATCGTCAACACAGAAATAATTTATCATTCCTTCATGTCAACATAGAGAAGCTAACGGCACTAAAAGTTTTCCTTGTAGCATGACATTAATCAAGGATGCAAATATGAAGTTTGACCCGTTTGCGTGTTGAGTAGATGATGCCAACAGTATGATTAGTAGTTAGTATTTTATACAGTTATTCTAAAGCTTGTTTTTACAATATATGATTACCTTAAAATTAAAGGTTACCGAGAGATTTATCAATAAAATTCATTCATTACTTTCTTGGTAACTCTTAATCCGTAGGTAATCATGTATTATAAAAAAATATATTTCTAATTCATAGAAATTTTGAGAGAGTATTCACTTCCAATTTTACTTATAACAATAAAACAAATTAGATATACTTTTTAAGATTTGTGATTATTATTATTGATTATTTCTTTTGGTTAAATTTTTTATTTCTCTGTGTGTGTGTGTGTGTGTATGTGTGTGTGTGTGTGTGTGTGTGTGTGTGTGTGTGTGTTACATTATTAACAAAATCTATTGAAATTGTAGATATGTTTTAGTAAAATAGTAATATATTGATAAAAATTTTTATAAAATATTTAAACTCAAAAGTTAGAATTAAGATCCAATTTTAATATTAACATCAATTCTGATTCTAATAGATGCGCAATATTTATAAATCATACCTACCCCTTCACGCAGTGTGCGGCTGTGAGAACGTAACGATCGTTTATAAGTGTACAACCGCAATAAAATTTATTTAGGTACGATAATCTACACATCCATGGAAACTCATTCATACTCGTCGTTTGACCTCCAACTATACGACTTTCTTCATTCCGTAATCCACAACCTAGATTGTAACAATTGAAGTATACACTTTTTCTACGCTGTTTTTTCAAAACATTATGTTTAATAAAAGTAAAACTTAACAAGAAAAGGGATATTGAACGCACTACAGTAGCAGGGCGCAGGTGATTCAATGGAATAAGGTGGCTTATTACCAAAAACTCCAAAGAAATACTTTATCTTCTCATCAAATATTTCGGCCTAAAATAAAAATAATTACATTAATTAATGATCTATGTTTTCCATACAGCATTCAAATGACATTCTAAGACGTCCAGAAGACATCCCTGTGTGCTAAGGACATTCCCAGAATGTCTGAAGTATATTATATGGAAGTGTGTTATATGGAAATTTATTATATTATATTTATGTATTAAAAATTTTTAAGAAAATTAATTAATAGTTTTATTTGATTTGTAAATTTTAGATATAAATAGATAAGCATAAGATGTATAACTATTTACAGATTATTCTTATAAAAAAAGATAATTAGAAATAAATTTAAAATTATTCTTGTAATTTTTTGTCACGTACATTTCTTTTATTTCGATAAATTATTAAAATAGTTTAAATTATATGTCAAATTATCTTGTCAAATATACTTCTTAGATTGTAATTATTTTTCAATAACTTCTAAATTGACATCTAAATTTATTCTATTTTTGTTTCATATTAAAATTAAATGTACTAAAATTAAAATTATAAGAACTAAAAAATTCAAACATATATTTAGAAAATATTTTAACGATTTTTTAAGAGACACATAGTAAGTATACCATATAAAGAAATCAATTATATGTATTATTCATAAATGCAATTCTTACCTGACACTTTTTTGTTGCTAAAAATAAAATGAATAATAAAATTAAGAAACACAAAGGCTTCATATTCTGCGACTTGATTAAGTAACTCATTGCACCGATAATTATACACTTACAACTTTAATTAAGTTTTTGTATATATGAGTGAAAGAGTTGCCACACGGGCACCGTCAGGAACGAGTCATGGACATGTCCCTGACTGAGAGCGACTATCACTGGCGTCCTACGCCGACTATGGAGGACTGAGAGGTCGAAGAAGTAATTGCTATTCCGGAAGGGAAGGCGGGCACAGCCAGTCGGCCGGTACCTGACCAGTTCACGTTCATGTTCAGGGTCGAATCACGGATAACTGTTATTGACCGTCATCAGGGCCACGACGAGAAATTATTATACCCATTACGCAGAGAGCTGTTTAGATATTGTCATCTGCATCTACATAAATTTTTGTATCAATAAAAATAATATCTTTTTATTTTTTTATTTGATATAAGCACATTAAATAGTTTATTAATTATTTTATAAGATAATTTATATAGAAAAGTAGTAACGTTACTTTTACTTTCAATTATCTCATTAATCTTTAGGTACATTCATAAAAGAACGTTTTATAAAACATTTGTGATAAGGAAAAGTTGATATCAAAATGTTATATTACTTCTGTATACACACAAATCTTTTCTTTTTTAAGAATTTTTAATAGATTTTTTAATAGATAATATGTTCAGAAAAAATATATTAAAATATGAATGTATAATGTATACATTCTATGAATAAATTGTTAAAACAATGACTTTTGTTTAAATTAAAGTATTTTTACAATTTCTCAATGCGTTCTAACATATCATCGTGCGAATGCATAATGAAATAAAAGAAAGTGCAGAAAGAGAAGATTATACACAAGTACTTATTTTAGTTTTATTATATGCGCATACGCATTTGGTGCATCATCTGGCACCGCACATTTGGCAGGCACATTTTATGAACAATTATTAATAAATATTTCATCGACTAGCTTTGGAAGAAAAAAGTAGTCTTGTTAATATACTAATTAAATTTTATTTTTATTTTTGATGAGAATTTATAATAAAGTTTTCGTTGATTGCTATCCTATTATTGTAATATTATTCCTTAGAACTAGTTTCGGTTGAAGAAGCAGGTTTAGCAACTTTGTCATCGTTATTATTAACCTATTTATATTTTTACGAAGAATACAAAAATTCAATTAATTTAAGAAGAGTGTAGGATCATACATTTCGAGTTTTCTTTCTTTATTATTAATATTATAAAATTATAATGTATTGTCATATTATTAGTCATGTTGAGACAAAAGCAATATGCTTATTATATTTTAATCTTATATTTTAATCTAATTTTAAGGATATAATAACATATGTATATGTTACGATTTATTTAGTGTCATATATGGTACAATGTAATAAATAAAAATTAAATAACAATTATTTTAGAAAATAAATTTTAGCACAATATAAATAAAATATTTTTACTCATATATAATTTTAATTATTTTTATATAATAACAAAATATGCAACGATTGTTTTAAATACATTTTGTATTTATTAACACACTCTTAGTTTTTTGTAAGTTTATACATATTATTTTATAACACACACGCATACATACGTAATATGTATGTACACGTAATAGACAATATCAGTAATTTAGATTAACATAAATTACACTATCTTCTATTATGTACAAATTACTAGTTGCGCATACAAAGATACTATTGTACGTGAAGTGCATTTAGATGAGTCAACTTTAGCCCGGTTTGACAGTAAAACCGTTACTGGTTGCTAATTATTCCGGAAACGTTTGACCGCTATTTGTACGATTAAAGGTGATAGAAATGTGTGAAGCGAGCTAAGCATGTGCTCTAATCTTACTTAAATTAAATTTTCTAAAAAATATATCCTTTACATTTTATACACATATATAACAATAATTAATAAATAACAATAATGGCCTCTATACAAGGAACTATATTTGATAAGTCAGTATTTAATGAAAAATTGTACTCAGTTCCCTCAAATAAATCATTTAAGAATAATAATATAAAACGTACTTATTGCAGTAATTAATTACAATCGTTGCATATGAAATTTTATGTACAAGTCGGAGGTGAAAGCAGGTCCTCAGGTGACGCACAGACAGCCTTCCTTCATGTTTGCATGGATCCATTTGAGATATCGGGTTACTCTTGTATAAACTCCGGGATAACCTGGTCTACCACATCCCACACCCCAAGATACTATACCTGTTAGATACGTTTACATAAGTATGAACAAAAATGTTCCAATAATAAGATCCCAATCAGCAAAGAATAATGTTAAAAATGTTTTTAAAAACGTTTTTTAAATAGTTTTAAAACATTTTTTAAAATAATGGATTAAGTTCTTTTTTTAATTAAAGAGAAATGTTTATTTTAACGTTTAAAGCAATATTTTTTTAACACTTGAAAAATTTATTTTAAAATTTAAAAAAACGCTTTTAAAATATTTTTAAAAACTGATTAGAAATATCTTTAAAAATAATAAAAATAATGGGGTTAAGTCCATCCTTTTTTCATTAAAAAAACATTTATTTTAATTTATAAAAAGACATTCCTTATACATTTGAAAAACGTTTTATCAACGTTTAAAATAGATCTTTGCAATTAGTAAACAACGTTTTTAAAATATTGTAAATTTGTAAAAATATTGTAAATTTGTAAAAATATTTTAAAAAATTATCTGTTGAGAAGTGTGAGAACTATAAGAATTATAACAAAATATTTCAATTTTCATCTGAGGCCTAATTTTAGGACTTGATTTTAAAGTTTTTTCATCAGAACATGGAAATCTCATATTATTGCACCTTCTATTTTGTGTTTTTATTTACAATAGCAATGTCCATCTAGCGGTGATGTGTGGTACTACTTGCAAAATGATATTAAATTAATATTAAATAAATGTTTTTTTTCAAATTGTTATTACAAATAAATTATAAATGTAATATGAATATATTGAATAAACGTTATTTTAAATAATTTAATAAATAATTTAATTAAACAATTTAAATGTTTTTTTAAATCATTATTATAGACGAATATTAAATAAACGTTTAATAATATTTACAAATCATTGTTTTGAATAATTATTGTAAAATGTATATTTAAAAATAATTTTAAAATCATTTTTTTGTCTGTTAATTGAGACAATTTCTGCGGATTTTTACATTTGCGTAAATATAAATAAAGCTATCTGAAGATATTTGCTTGGAGACAATGTGCTTGTTTAAATAATGAAGGAATATTAATTATTTGACAAAAATATTTTTACGAAAAACTATATAGATTGAGACAAGATCTTAGAAATTCTCAGTTTTTCATAGACATTTGTAGTGGGACGTAAAGTGGCATTGTTTGTCTGAAAAATCAATAAATCCTTCATCTTCAAATAACATCACTCTAAATACAGTTTTTCTGTACTTTTTCTGTAAACATTTTTTTTTCCTCTTGAAACAGTATTTGTCATCAAATACTATTAAAAATTATATATATTATTATTATATAATGAAATATAAATTTATAAATTTTAATTATAAATTTTACCTGCTATTTCAAGTTTATCGGCTTCTTGAACAAGAAGAGGACCACCACTGTCTCCTTGACAAGAATCCTGATTACTTCGGCCGGCGCATATCATATTTTCGGTAATTCGATTTGCTCGATATTTCATTTTTCGACATTGCATCAAGCTATATATAGGGACTTGCACCTCCTGCACTTTTCCAGGTAGCATGCCTCCTTCCGAAGTACGACCCCATCCTACTACCGTCCCCTCTTTTCCAGCAGGATCAGTTCCTACATTTACATATTAAAAATACAATATTTAATATCTTAAAACAGATCACATACATACACACACACACACACACACACACATACACACACACACACACACACGCACACGCACGTACGCACGCGCGCGCGCGATTGATTCAGTTCAATGCATATGTTACCTGGTTGAGGTAAACAGATTGGTCGAATCTTTTTCGAAAATTTCACAGACTTGCGTAATTTTAATAAAGCTACATCGTGATTATAGGAGTTCATATCAAAATTTCTATGACGTACTACAGCACTCACTGCTCTCATAACAGAAGTTCCATCAGTATTTACGTATTGATCGTAATCACCAAGTATTACTCGAATTTTCGATCGTTTTAAACTTAAAAAGAAAAATAAAAAACATTTAATTGCAATAATATATATTAAATCGTAATCGCCAAGTATTACTCGAATTTTCGATCGTTTTAAACTTAAAAAGAAAAATAAAAAAACATTAATTTAATTGCAATAATATATATTAAATAGAATCAAAATATGAATAAAGCACACTTATACTTTTTTTAATATTAAAGATTATGTTAGAATTTCTGCGAGAATCTTATTTAATAACGTTCATAATAATTATGATACAACATTGTTCTTAATAATTTTGTGATACTACAATATCTATTTACTTAATTACATTTATATTATTGTTATTATTTACGTTTTGGTTGTATTTATTTATAAACTTATTGGATAAAGACATACTTCCGTACACAATGAGCAGCGGTAATTATATAATCGTTGTTGAGCAGACTAGCACCACAGTGGAAACGACCATCATACACTAGCCTCGCAATCCAGGGATATCTATTTGGTAATGTAGGACGTCCCCCCACTATTCGATTCTCTTGATTAGATAAACCGCATTCTGAGATCAATATTGAAATTTAAATGCTTTTAATGTTAAAAACTAAATTTGAACAAACAAATTATTTATTATATCAACTATACTTCTATAACAAAATAAATATAGTAAAAATATAATAATATATGTAATAACTTAATCGTAAATTATATGTATATTAACAAATTTTAATATCTTTAATTTTTTTAAAAAGATTTATTAAAATAATTAAGACTCGGGACAAATTTAATTTGTGAAAGACATTCTTACCACACGTGCAGTTTCTTAACCTTTCTTCGTCTGTATTCTCAATAATATCAATACCAAATATTTCATCGAATAAAAATTTTCCGGTACGAATTCGAGAATTATTCAAAGAAATTTCCTGAAAGAAATGTATAATTAACTGGTGTCATTCAAGTACGCGCTCACTTTCTATTGCAAATACGACATAAACGATGAGAGAAAGTAATCATGATCAGAATAATGGGTCAAGGCCTAAGCTGTCAAATTATCTTCAACACTAACTAAATATCTTATAAGCGTAAGCGTTGCGTGCATGTAATATTTACATAAATCTTTTAATGATATTTGACTGATTATAATCATTACCTAAATTCTAAAACATCTTATATCTGTTTGGATTGAATAATATACATAGTGATGTGCTAATAAATAATATTAAGGAATAAAAAGTTAAATAAAAGCGTTAAATTTTTTAAATTAAAACAGCATGATTTACAACAGAATAATTTATAAATTATCAATTTCTATATAGCATAGACCTTCTAAAGGGACTTTCTAAAGACATTTATAAGAAATCTCTATAGTCTCTAAACTTCTTAAGAACGTTCCTAAAATGTTTTTTGGATAATGCGTACTGTATTAATTATAATAATTAATATTAATAATAAAAGAAGAATTGTCTTTATAATATTGTTGCGAATTACATAATAAAAATTCTTTAAAAAAGTTATATTTTCAAATATTTTGTAAACATTTGTCACAAAAAATTATAATAATATATAATTATTATATATCATGTTCTATTTAATAGTTTAAATTTTATGTGAAATAGTTTCACTATTTTTTCATCTTGTTGAGAGCTAATCTATCATAATTTATTTTATCTCAATTGAATCAGTATACTTACAGTAGAAGCAATTGGAGCCATTATAAGTTCTCGACGAAGTCTATAGTCTTCAATTGATATTGATATAAAAAATGTCATAATTAGGATTAAGATCGGGAGCTTGCTACGGAACACGTATAAAGGCATTTTCCCATTTGTCATTCACGAAATGCACCAATGTCGTTCTGACTCACAGATGCGTTCTTGTTTTCATCGATGTAGCACCGTACACCACGTTTTTTGCTGGATTCCACGACCGACATGCATTATATTGAGTCCGTACGAACATTCGGCCACGATTTCGTTCAGCGATACCGTTCTTTTCGAATTTTACAGAGAAGCTGTGGATTCTGGTTTCGTCAAAGATCACCGTTGCTCGCGCACGCTTTCACCGTAGCTCCACAAAGAAGTTAAACTGATCGACCAAGAGCTAGCCGGTCTTTATGGTTGCGAAGAAAGTTCTTCTTTCACTGTCACGCTGCCACCATCGCATCGCTCTGGTCCTATTCAATACACGTGGCATAAACGTGGTGAATCCTCTCAATTTGGAATCATGATGTCTTTCGTTTTCGTAAGAATGGAAAGCACGTATATCAATGAAAGCTTTCGCTGTATACAATATCATTCTATATTGTTTTTTATGTAACCTAACAATTTTGCTTAATGTTTTCTTTTTCTTATTATTAGTACCTCAATAATTTTGAAATAAACCTATAAATTAGGAAATGGAGTAAAAGGAAATGGTATAAATTAGGAAATTTTCCTTAAAAAGGGAAAAACGTTATCCAAAGCACACACACACGCATACACACACACACACACACACACACGCACGCACGCACGCACGCACGCACGCACGCACGCACGCACATATATTTTAAGATTTTATAATCTCAATAGTTATATTCTTAGTTGCTTCCGACGATAGCAGAGTTGCTTCCGACGATATTTTCGGTTCTTTAGGATTTTTGCGTGCAAAGCAAAAAAAAGCTTCAAATTTTTTAGCATATATATAGAATTCAATATTAAATATGTCATTTTCTAGCAAAAGTCGAACAATGACTAAGATTCTGTGTACAATGACTAATTGTAAGATTATGTATAATGTGTTGTAGAAGAAAATTCTTCTCTCTATCTATTCATTTAAAAGTTTATGATGTAACGATTTCCACAATTTAACCACTTTTATTAGACAGATTACACTGTAAGATGTTGACAATAATTGACAATAGCACTAATTAACTTATTAATTTAAAAGCGTTGTAATATGTACATATGTAATTTTTACATTTTTAAATAATAGTATAAAAGTTACTTAAGTCAATCATGATTATATTAAACAGACTGTATATCGTAAATAAAAATACATTCTTTTTAGAATTCTGGAATAGTCCATATAATATGTATAAATATTATGTCAAAATCTTAGTTGCTATCCGATATAAAATTTTGGATTTTTGTTAATTGAATAAAAGTTTAATTTTATGAAAAATACCGAAGAATAGATTACCGTTATTGACTCAACAGCATGAATAAATAGTGAATATAATATAATAAATTTATTATTTTTATAATATACAGTTATAACGGTTTTTAAAAAGCATTACAAATTAAAATTATCGTATTGATCATGTTTCTTTGAAAAGAAGGTTTTAAGATGTTAAAAGATTTATAGGTTGCTAAAGCTTGTCTTACTGAATACATTTCATTTCCACACCCTGTAAATATCAATTCATCTTTGTTGTCTATCAAATTATGCAAGGACAAATAATATTTACAAGTGTTATAAAAGCGCAAAATGGAACGCATCTTATATATTAGATGTATATTAGATGTATATAATATA